TTAATGCCATTACAAAGGTGAAATAAAATAATAATTTTTTAAATATAATTAATTATATAGATAAAAAATAAACATGATTTGGCTTATTTAATCCTTTCCTTGTATGTGAATGCCTCCATCCATCAAATATTCGTGATTATTATTCAATATGTTTGAAGTTATAATTGACATAACAAACAATTGCATCACCCAGGTGATAAATAACATCAGGGCCATGCATAAATGAATTTTTTAAGGAACCCGATTTTTCAAAATAATAATGTGTGCATCTATCCCAAATCTCTAGGCTTTGCAAAAATAAATGAATAAGGAAGATCAGGAAGAAAAAATATTCTTTCTTGTATAGTTCCTTAAAATGAATAATAAATCTGATGCTTGATCACAGGTGTCAGATTTAATTAAAATTTTCCTATCACAAACATTATGGTTAGGTGCTCTTAACACGCCTCATAATTGTGGGCTTTTTTCCACAAGTGAGGGACCCCACATGCTGGATGGCTTTTATAATGTTGGCAAAAATTTCCCTATTATCCCCTCAGACCAGGCTTGGCTGTTACCATATGGGCATTGTTTGCTGATGAGAGTTAGCATTTATGATGATTGCTGTGTGTTATACCTCTCTAGAATAAAGCTGGCACCTGCAACTGGTTCGAAATTTTCCAACTTGGAAGGGTTGCTGTTTTGGATTCAGAGTTTTGAGTCCTGGGTTGCTGAAATTTTTATGAAAAGAAAAGTATTAATATTTAACAATTAATTATTTAATGTTTATTTTGTTGAAAAAAATATACATTGATAGTGTACATTTTCTGTGCTTAACATCCATGTGACCCTAGGTCTGGACAAAAGATCCCTTTCTATGAGTTTGGCTGGTATATCTCAAAGGCGTCCCCTGTCTTGTCAGTGGCATGCCTGCTTACCAACAACCCTACCCCCATTTAAATAACAAGTTCAGTTGGTCAAACAAAAATTAAAGAGAAACAGAGTATTTGGGAAAATGTTTAATTTATAACATACCAAAATCCAAACCATTTCATGACTTTTTTCTTGTTGGCCATATTGCTGACAAAGATATATATAATCATGTGATAATTTTAACCTACAGGACAGGGGACTGATTGGGCAAAGACCCTTACCCAAAATCATAAATTGGTTAGCATCAGAGAAACAGTGAATTTATGAAATGATTATACAAAACAAACACTATTTTACAACTTTCCTCTTAACATCAGAACCCAAATGCGATTTCAGGGCCACCAACCCTGCTCTGAGTTGTGACCTCCTGTGCTTGGAACAAGCTGCAGATTCTCTTAATATTCCTCCGAGTTGCGACTTGGTCACAGAGCAATCCTTGCCCTAGAGGCAGGATCATTGCAGGCGAATTTTCGGCCAACGTGCCAGCAGCCTTCTCTGGTCTGGTGCTGTAAGGGAAGATTAGTTGAAAGTGTCCTTGACGATTGATGCAATCATGATAAACTCCAGGGCCATGCGCCTCCCCCCTGGTATTGGTTGCATCATATCCATAGGGCGAAGCAGGTCAGATTAGCCTTGTGTACACGAGGAAGGTGTGAGAATGACTGTAAGTGTTCAAGGCAGCATAGCATGCTTCAACGCCTGCTATTTTCCGATAACCAAACATCACATACTCAAAATGTTTCATATTCAATTGTGCTGCCTTGACATCTTGTAATTATTATTAATATTATAACGATTACGCAAAGCAAAATATTATCAATGAAAATCTTGTAATTACCCAACAAGATCTGCTCCGCGTTTTGATTCCAATTAAAATGTTTATAATAACCAAAAAAGACAATACAAATAAAAAAAGTACCTCTGGTTAGTTATTAACACGTTTTCTTTAGGAGACCCAAACCAAACCAAACCAAACAACAACACTCACGTTTTGTCACCTTGGACTCTGTCAAAAAATAAATAATTAGTGTGTACGCGTCGATCAAATAAAAAATTTCTTTTATTTTCTTAAAAAAAATAAATAAAAAATGGATAGAAACAAGAACAAAAGAAATAAATATAACGATGAGGAATTTGAAAGAGGGTAAGCGTTTTAAGGATGGTGGTGGTGATTATCGCCACTCGTCGTTACTCTAGTTTTTCTAATTAAAATTATTTTAAAAAAATAAAAAAATAAATAAATAGAAAAAAACAGAAAATAGAAATTCCAAAATTCGTATACGAGTAAGTATTATTATAACTATTATTGCTTGTTATTTTGTTTAGTCCAAGATCTAGTTAGTAAGTAATAGTAAACCAAGTCTAACGCAAAGTTTTAAATGATTAATATAGTAGCAGCTTTTTTAACTCCAAAAAAAAGATTTTACCTTCAAATCATGTTAATAAACTTGCAAACGATCTAAAAGATATGTTAATTGAATCATATTTTTACGATACAGAAATTAAAGTTGGAGCAGAGCAGGATGACATTAGAATTTTTAATGCTCATTCATGCATTTTAAAAGCAAGGTCCTCATATTTTAAAGCTGCTCTATCAAATAATTGGGCAAACAAGTCTGAAGATGGCAATTTTTTATTTGAAAAAGACAATATATCTCCAAAGGATGATAAATTGTGTCATTTGGAAAAGGGATCTGCCTCAAATCTCATGACGCAAATTATCGAGGGTGCGGAAAAAAATTGGGTAAAGTTCCAGAAAGAAAAAGGCAAAAAAGAAAAATTATTAAAAAAATTAAAATCTCAAACTGTTCATGTTGGTCCTTTAACTTGATTAATAGTTATTGATGCTAGTATTTATAATGCAAATAATATTGATAATATATCAATATTGTTACAAGTATGTAAATAAAAAATCAATGAAGGTTATTATTTTATAACTTGATTTTATTTTTTTGTGACACGCACTATTGAAAAAAAAAAATTAACAAGAGAGCTTTAAATAGTCGTACAACTTCCAAAATTATGTATAATGTGTATTTTAACTGCAAGCCTACCAAAAATAATCAATAGCTTCAAATTATAATCATAAAGTTAACATATAAACTTCTTAATAATCAAAGTTGCTCGTCATCCATCAGGGATCTCGTTATTAATATTAAAACGCTTGATAAATTCAACAATTTCTCTCTTTTTTATGGCGTGATGGACCATGTTTGCACTATTGTAAACCAGCAGGAGGCATAATATAATCATTTATTTATATAGCGGTTAAAAAATAATGTAATACCTTAATAATACATGTACAGTGTGTAACAAAAAAACCGGAAATCTTTTATTTATTTGTTTTCAATAATGGTTGAATGAAAATAGATAAAAATACATCGAAAAGAA